GGCTGCATATCCTTTCCAGGGATAGTGTTACTCTCTCTCAGGCATAGGCCTTCGTATCAAGGGAAGAGAGTAGGAGAAATGTAATGATGAAGAATTCTGGTTTTGAACAATTAGCCATGGTCAGTACTATGAAACCTAAATAGAGTAGAGACCGGGGTGGCAGTGAACAAGAAGGAAGATAAGAAGGATTTGATTTGTGATTACTATATGAAGCCTAAACACACAAGAGATACTTGCTGGAAGCTTCATCCTCATCTTGTGCCGAATAGAATAAAAAACAAGAAGGGAAAATGCTCACATGGTAATCACTGGTGACATACCTGGCCCTCCTACTACAACTACTCTGGAGTCTGTTGCAGCTGTTGCAGCAAGGGCCGAACTTGAGAGATATGGGCAGTTCTTGAATCAGCGAGATATAGTTAGCCTAATTCAGTAACAGGTGGGCAGCTAGGTACAGGTGGTTCTGGTGGAGCACACTCTACTTCCTTTGCTCTCATAGGTAGTTCACATGCCACTGCAAACTATGTTTCTACTACAGGTAAGGAGGTACCTCCTTGGATTATAGATTCTGGAGCCTCAGAGCACATGACTCATAGTTCCACTATTTTTTTTTCTTACCAACTTTGTTTTGGCAGAGACAGAGTCTCCACAGCTGATGGATCTCATGTTCCCATTGTTGGGAAGGGGTTTGTCAAGATTACTGATTCCATTTCCCTACCCTCTGTCTTTCATGTTTCCAGATCGAGTACTAATTTGTTAGTTGTTAGTAGTTTGGCTAAGAACTTGAATTGCTCAGTAATTTTTTCTCCTAGTCATTGTGTTTTGCAGGATCTGGATTCAAAGAGGGCGATTGGGAGTGGTCGTGAAGTGAATGGAATCTACCTCCTGGATGCGCTTCCTCATCATCAAGGTCTTCATGTCAATAGGGATAGTGTGTCAGGGTCTGTGAGTCAGATTATGCTTTGGCATAATCGTTTGGGTCATTTGTCCTTTTCTTCTTTGCGTTTCTTATTTCCAAAGCTTTTTGAGTATGTTAATTTTCCTAGTCTAGAGTGTGAAGGTTGTCAGCTTGGAAGACATTGTAGACATTCCTTTAAAGCTATAGTAATAAAAGATGTTCATATACTTTTGATGTTATTCATTCTGATGTGTGGGGACCATACCATGTTCCTTCTATGGGTGGCTATTGATATTTTCTTTTATTTGTGGATGATTTTTCTCGATATTCTTGGATTTACTTAATGAGATCTCATGATGAGGTACCATCCTTAGTTCGGAAATTTCATCAAATGGTGCTAACACAATTTGGGGTACGAGTGAAGGTGTTCAAATCAGAAAATGCCAGGGAATATTTTGAAAAGAACCTTGCCTCGTATCTGTTAAAGCATGGAGTTATCCATCATAGCAGTTGTTCTTACAGTCCACAGCAGAATGGTGTTGCAGAGAGGAAGAACAGACACATTGTTGAGATTGCAAGAAGCATGATGATCACATCCACTTTTCCAGTTTGGTTGTGGGGTGATGCGGTTCTCACAACAGTCTTCCTGATTAATAGGATGCCCTCTCGTATACTTGGATTCAACACCCCATCCAGCCTCCTTTTTCCTGAGGGGGAGATGTTCCACATTCCTCTCAGGGTGTTTTGGTGTGTTTGCTTTGCACATGTTCTTGGTCCTCATTGTTCGAAGCTCGATCCAAAGGCAAAGAAGTGTGTTTTCCTTGGGTATGCAGAAAATCAGAAAGGGTACTGTTGTTATGATCCAGGAGTCGGTATGTTACTATGGATGTCACATTTTTTGACTCCACATCCTTTTTCTTAAAGGATCATTCTCAGTGGAAGTGTTTTGGGGAAGTGAGTGGGCAGTCTATTCCTCTTCCAGTTCTAGTTCCTATGTCTGATCCTCCTATGTGACCTATCTTACCACCTCCTTGCGTCTTGCTTCTTAGTGTAACTTACGACAGCGACTTCATAGGGAAGTTGATTCCACTGCAGAAAATCTCATATCACTTCCTATTGGTTCCTTGGAGACTCCAGATTTAGTTGACACGGATTCAGGTATTCCTCTTGATCCTTCTAATGTTTCAGTTCTTATTGATTCTACTAATCCCATTACAGATGACCTAGACCTTCCTATTGCTCTCAGAAAAGGGAAGAGAAAGTGTACTGCTCATTGTATTTCACAGTTTCTATCCTATAGTGGACTTTCTCCTTCCTATCGTGCATTCCTTTCTTCTCTTGACTCAGTGTCTATACCCAAGGGTGTCAGTGAGGCTCTTTCCAAACCAGAGTGGAAGATAGCTATGCAGGAAGAGATGGAAGCCTTAATTAAGAATCCGACATGGGAAATTGTGGATCTACTAGAGGGCAAGGAGATTGTTGGATGCAAATTGGTTTACACGGTTAAATATAAGGCAGATGGAGGTATTGAAATGTATAAGGCCAAACTAGTTGCAAAAGGGTACACACAAACCTATGGCATTGATTACTTAGAGACCTTTGCACCAATCGCAAAGATGACTTCTGTTCGGATCCTTCTCTCTCTTGCTGCCACACTCTTGGCCCCTATTTCAACTTGATGTAAAAAATGCTTTTCTGAATGGAGATTTGCATGAAGAAGTGTATATGGTTCTTCCTGGTGGTTTTTATAGTGATGCTGAAAAAGGGAAGGTATGCAGACTAAAGAAGTCACTTTATGGTTTAAAGTAGTCTCCCAGAGCATGGTTTGGCAGATTCAGGAAGGCCTTGATTGCTTTTGGCTACACTCAGACTCAATCAGACCATACCTTGTTTGTGAAGAGGAGGGGATCCTTGGTGTCAGTCCTGATTGTTTATGTGGATGATATTGTTGTCACAGGGAATGACCTATGTGAGATTGACAGTTTGAAGAAGAATCTACATAGATAATTTGAAATTAAGGATCTTGGGGAGCTGAGGTACTTCTTGTGCATTGAAGTTGCAAGATCAAAACATGGAGTATGTTTTGGATCTTCTACAAGAAACAAGGAAGCTTGGAACAAAGGCTGCTAGTACTCCTATTGATCAGAATCACAAAATTAATGCATCAGAAGGTGAGCTGGTGAAGGACATTGGGAGATACCAGAGACGTGCGACGATTGCTATAGTTGTGTATGACAAGATCAGATCTCCTATGCAGTGAGTGTGTTGAGTCAATACATGCATGCCCCAAGAGTCCAGCATTGGGAGGCTGTTGACAGAATTCTTGCTTATCTGAAGGGACACCCAAGCAGAGGCATATTATTTGTTGACCATGGACAGGTGAAGCTAGAGGCTTATACAGATGCTGATTGGGTAGGATGCTTTAATGACTGGAGATCTACTTCAGGAGTCTGCACCCTTGTTGGGGGTAATCTAGTCTTGTGGAAAAGTAAGAAACAGACAGTGGTGGCAAGATCAAGTGCAAAAGCTAAATGCAGAGCCATGGCACATGGAGTTTCAGAACTTCTATGGATCCGCTCCTTGTTAGGAGAGATTGGTGTTGAGGCAGACGAACCTATAATGTTGTACTATGATAATCAGGCAGCAATTAACATTGCCCACAACCCAGTTCAGCATGATAGGACAAAGCACATTGAAGTGGATAGACATTTCATAAAGGGTGACTTCAGGGGAAGTGTGTCTTCCATACATTGCTTCTGATTTGCAACTTGTTGATATTCTCACAAAAGGTGTTGCAAGGAACAAGCTGGAGCATGATCTACGCAAGTTGGGAATGTTGAGTTGGGCCGATTTCAAGTTATTGGGCCCAATTATTTATCTTTTATTTTTAAGTTGTTAAGTTAGGAAGTTATTGGGGTTTAGGCCCATTACTTTATGTTTTTTAGTTGTGATTGTTCAACTACTTAAGTAGTGACCACACTAAGGGCATTCTTGTAATCTCTCATTATTTTAATTCAAGTATATAATTCAATGAGGGGTTGGCGGCCAGAACTAATTCAATTCTGGGCGACATCCCACTCTCTTTCTTCTCCTCTCTTCTTCTCTACTACTAAAACCTTTCAACTTCTTCTACTATTCTTTACAAGGAATTCATCTAAAACTGCTATCAACAACTTCTACTAATATTATCTCTTGGTGTTTTAACTGAGTTCCAATCAATTACAACCAGTGTTTTAAAAGGCGTGAGAGTACACCTAGAAGTGCGCCTCTCTAGGTGAGGTGCCCCTAAAACGCCCTGAGGTGTAGGCCAGAGGCACTGATACCTCTGAGGCGTATGCCTAATACACTTTTTTCATGAGGCATGCTAGAGGTTTCTGCCTCCTCATCCCCCTCCTCTTAAGGAGGCTTCTGCCTCCTTGTGCTTACGCCTCCTCTTAAGGAGGCCGGGATTAGTGCTTACGCCTCTTATGTTCTGAGCTACACGTCACACCTCTAGGTAGTGGAAAGCCTCACGTCATGCCTCCGCATTTTAAAACATTGATTACAACACTCTCATAGCATAATTGGTAGGAGAAATCTAACACCTCAGAATCTGTATATGTCTTGGGTACCATATTTATCCTGTATAGTTTAAAATTAAAAAAACATACCGGAAAAGAAACAACATAAGGAAATAGAGATTAGACCAGATTCCGGTTGTTCAATTTGAAGATCTTGTTGAGATAGATACACTACTAGAGGAACTGAGGAATGCAAGTCCATGAAGCACAATCAATATTTTGTTACTCAATCAAACCACAAACCAGATCATGCAGTGGATGAAATATGTCCAACACACAATAATACCTAGAGATATTGAATTTGTGCTATTCATTCTAGGAGGGAAGTAGGGCACCTAAAAAGCCCCAACATTATGACGATATATGGGTAATTCAACAGCATCGTTTATGTCTCAGTGAGGGTTGTGTCATACTGTCATGTTGTTATCCAGCATATATGTTTTTGCCAAACCCTTATTAAAATAAGTTGAATAGAGGATCTATGAATTTCGTTTTGCTTGATATGTTTCCATCTGCTTGAATTCCATTTTTTCATTGTTCAGGTAGAGTCAGATACAAATTTGCATCATTTTGGAACAGAAATCATGCAATTAAAGCTTTGCAACGTGCAGCAAAGAACTTTGATGCTATGTTAGCAGCTGAAAAGAAGGTTTGTTCTACAAACTTTTATTACCTGCATAATGGATGGTGGATAGCTTTCTTCGTTTAAAGAAAGTTATTTGCCTTTCACATTATCTGTGAACTGAAACCTTTTCATAAGCCGGTTGTATCATTGTATGAGAATAGGGTATACTATTTATACAGTGAAGGCATATCTCTCAATCCTCGTTGACATCCCAGATTAGTGTAATTATCAAAAGATATCACCATCTCCTTTAAGAGTGTTCTCCAATAATTGTATCACTAAGAGCATTGTCTTCTTCCTATAATATCTCATTGAAACTCTGGTACTAGGCCAATAGAAGAATTCTATATATTAAATCTAAATGATCTCTCATTGGATTTAGTTTCCATATTAGTTGCTTGAATTTGCTGTTGTTGGTGAGATTGTGACTTCTTTATTTTCCTATCTATTTACTAAATGATGAGGTGTTACCATTAGGTTGAATATTGAGCTTAACTAGGAAAATAGTTAGGAGTATTCCTGACTGCTGGAGGTACGGAAACAAGAGGACAAAAGGAGGATAGTATTGAAGAGCTTGAGATAAGTCTGCTTGATATAAGTAATCCCAACTATGCTTGATGTCAAGAAGTAGGTGTATGTAGGGGCATCTATGTGACCTTTTGTTTTGATCAGTAATATAAATTATTATATCAGAAAAGAGTTAAGAGTTTAGTACAATGTTGGAAAACTCCAACCAAACTGAAGTACCATGGTTTACATTTTTCCCAGAAGAATTGATGTCTGCTCACCCCTTGTTTTGGTTATACATCGACCATCCCATTTGCAGTTCTTCTAACCCAGGTAAAATCGGTGGAGTTACGTTGATAGGCGACCTATCTCCCTAAAAGCATGCCTGTAACTCCAAGGTCCTGAATTCATGTCTTGTCCATGAAATGACCAATTTTTAGTCTCCTTCCACATGTATCTCTCGTAAGCCTAGTGATTTTTCTAGTCTTAGTCCTTGTAACATAGCCAATATTTCAGCTCTAACCAAGTTGCCAATGCCAGTTGGTCCTCGATACATAGCCACCACCATGCCCAAGTAGTTCCTGAATACACCTCCAATACTTTCCCTCCCTGGATTATCCATAGAATTGCTGTCAAAGTTCAGTTTCAATGTGTTTTCAGCTGGAGATTTCCAGTCCACAATCACATTGTCTTTCCTTATATCGGTCCGTGCCACTTCTGACCAAGATCGCACTATCTCATCTGAGAATATCCGAAAGAGGTATGTCACTTTGCCTCGAGTTATGGTCAAGTCACGTTTTAAGTTCTGTCCACTCATTTAATAGGGGTCAGAGCAGTCATTGTACTTTGGTTGAGAAGAGAGTAGAATACAGTGGTTTTAAGCTATCAAAAAGTGAGCGATGGCTCCCCGACTCTAACTTGTATATTAGGATGTCATAAAAGAGAATCAAATTATAAGTATACCCCTGACAATCATAACAGAACACTTGATACAATAATCCAAACTCCTAAAAACACCCCCTCTCAAGTTGGGTTATATATATCTATCATCCTCAATTTGTTACAAAGATCAACATGTCGATAGCCAAGTGCACCCTTGGTGAAGATATCACTGAGCTGATCGTGGGATTTAACAGTTAACATAAGGAACACAGATCTCTTCACTTTCAAGCTTCTAAGATACGAAGTGCTTGTCCACTTCAATATGCTCTGTCCTCTCATGCTTCATTGGATTGTGAGCAATGTTAATTGCCTCCTTGTTACCACAATAGAGAAACATTGATCTAGGAACTTCAAACCCCAACTTTATTAAAATGTTCTTTAGCCATAAATATTATGCCACACCATGTTCCATGGCTCTATATTCAGCCTCAGCACTAGATCTTGCAACTACTATCTGCGCTTTTTACCCCTCCAAGTCAATAAATTGTCTCCAACAAATGTACAATAACCTGTAGGAGATCTCCTGCCATCTATCGATCCAGCCTAGTCAGCATCAATTTAAGCTTCGACCCTCAAGTGGTCATGCTTGGAAAAAAGAATATCTCTGCTGGGGTGTTTCTTCAAGAGTCTTAAGAATCCGTTCAGTTGCAACAAGATGAGTAGTCCTGGAAAATGTGTACTGGCTTAACAACCTAACTGCATAAGCTATATTTGATCTATTTATAGCTATTATAACAGTCTACCGACGAGTCTATGGAACATCTGCACATCAGAGTGGTTCACCATCACTTTCCCCGGGTCTGTAATTGTTATCAATGGGATTCAGTTGGTTTGACAACCAGTTTGCTAGCATTGTTAAGAAGATCTAGTATGTACTTCCTCTATGAAATGATGATGCCCTTATTTGACCTTGCAACCTCAACTCCATGGAAGTATTTTAGAGGTCCATGATCGTTGACTTCAAACTATGATCCCAAGAACTTCTTCAACTTTTGTAGTTCTGACTCTCAGTTTCTAGTAATGACAATATCATCCACGTATGCTATCAGACTTGCCATTATATTTCCATCTCTCTTAACAAGGAGAGCTTTATCACTGTGACACTGCTTAAGGCGACCTACTTCACCACATTATCGAACTTACCAAACCATGCCCTGGGAGATTGTTTTAAGTCATACAGGGACTTCTTGAACTAACAGACCTTTCTTTTTGTCTCCGTGGTACAGAGACCTCAGGGATGAACCATATACACCTCTTCAAGTGTGCAGAGAAGCGTTTTTCACATCTAACTAATGCAAACTCCTATCAAAGTTGACATCAAGGTAAAGGACACAGATAAAATCCTTCTTTTCAACAGGGGAAAATAACTCTATAGAATCAACTCTATATGTTTAAGAGAAACCCTTGGCAACCTGCCTAGCTTATATCTCTCTATTGAACTGTCAGCCCAATGCTGCATAGAAAAAACCCACTTATACCTATTGGTTCTTTACCTTCAGTAAGGCCTACTAAATCCCATGTGTTATTCTTATTGGAGAACACTGATTTCCTCCAACATGTCATTCTTCAAGAGATTCCAGAGCCTTCGCAACAAGGATAGGAACACTAGAGATAGCGAATAATAGGAGATTTCATAGCCTCTGACAAACCTTTCTTTCCAACAGGGATATGAAGAAGAAAGGTTATCACAAGTGGTAAACTGACTAATAGGATGTTAGTAGTGCATGAATGAGTACCTTGTGGATAGCAATGGGAACATCAGATCACATATAGGTTCACTAGAAGGATTAGTACATTGCTTAACATGATGTGTACTGCTTTTTAGGTTTGCCTCATGAGAGTCCGTTAGATCAAGATATGCTGCTTCAGTTGAATTTGCATATGGTAGAGTATGCTGGTCCTTCTGGCTATGAGGACAGGAATGAGAATGAGAACGACAATACAAACACTGAAAAAGAGCATGAGCATGACAAGGAGACATAGGGGGTTCAGACATAGGAAGAGGAAGCTGAACTTGCCTCTCCTTAGTGTTACTATTCTACCCTTTAGGGGCAGGGAAGAAAATTGATACTCAACAAAGGACACATCCATGGATATGTAGACATGTTGAGAAGAGTCATACATAGTACTTATACCCCTTTTGAGCAGTAGGGTATTTAAAGAAAATACAAGGAAAAGAACAACAGTCAAGTTTACCTCATGATGAAGACAGGTCGTGGACAAAACACTGGAGAGGAAAAAAGAGATGGTGTGGGGCCTTGAATTGGAGAATATGTGTTGGCATGCAATTGATCAAATATGCAGTTTTGAGAAGAACATCCACCCCAAAATGCTTCCATACATGCATATGTAGCATCAGGCCTCTAGCAACTTCAAGTAGGTACTTATTTTTTCTCTCAATAACACCATTATGTTGAAGTGTTCTTGGACATGAACTTTGATGAATGGTACAATTTTGAGTAAAGAACTGATTTACATCATCTCAGAAATACTCATGAGCATTATCAAAATGGAAAATTTGTACCTAAATTGTGTGAACACTGAACGCCATCCTCTGGAAATCTTATATTACTTTTGGCACTTAATCATGTGATCTAAGCAAGTAGATCCAAGTATATTGGGAAAAATCAAATATGCAGATTTATTCTCAAAACTGCATATTTGATCAATTGCATGCCAACACATTCTCCAATTCAAGGCCCCACACCATCTCTTTTGGCACTTAATCATGTGATCTAAGCAAGTAGATCCAAGTATATTGGGAAAAATCATCAACGAAGCTAATAAGATATTTGTATCCTCTCTCAGCAATAACAGAAGTAGGGTCCCAAACATTAGAGTGGACAATATGAAAAGGAAACTTTTGGGATATTTCACTAATTTTGCTAAGATATATGGAAGATTTTAAAAATAAGGAAATTTTCTAGAAACATTGAATTAATTAACCTTCAAAGAATTGTTAGAGAAAGTATAACTGCACATTTATTGCTCAAGAAACAATAGCACGCAACTGTATAAATCAAATAAGAGAAAATTAAGAGACTTAAATAGCTATCCTTCTCTGGATTTATTTGACCCTAGTTTTTTCCAACAACCAAAGAAGAAAAGAAGGGTGATGTGGAGAACAACAAGGGCAGCTATCTTGTGGGCAGTATGGGAAGAGAGAAACAATAGGATTTTCCAAGGGAAAGATTAATCAGCTCCTGAAGTTATTGAAGGGATCACCATCAAGGCAGTACATTGGCTGAAAATTTTTGACCTGTTCAAGGATGTCTCTACAGATGATTTGATTAGAGGCTGGAGTATTTTAGCAAGATCTACTTCATCACCTGCCATACAAGCAGTTTGGTCCCCTCCTTTGTAGTGTCATGTCAAACTGAACTTTGATGGCAGCTCTATTGGGAACCCCGGACCTTCTGGAATAGGGGGGTGTGTTTAGAGATGCAGAAGGAAAAATCCTAGCTTTGTATTGTGGTCCAATAGGTTTGGGAGACTTGCTTAGAGCTGAAGTTTTGTCACTCCTCTAGGGGCTCAGATGGGTCAAGCAATTGGGTTGTCAACAGTTGGAAGTGGAGGGGGATTCAAAATTAGTAGTAGGTTGGCTGCAATCAAATAATTTGGGAACATGGTCCCTTAGACAACAGGTAAGGGAATTATTGAGCCTCACAAGGGAGCTGGATGCAAAAGTGTATTGGTCTAGGAGGTCAGCAAATGCTTTAGCTGACAACCTAGCAAAACAAGGGGTGAATCGGGAGTTCTTGTTTTGTGCAGTGTTGTAAGATTTTTGTTATTCCGGGGTCACCTTTTACTTTGGAAGGTGACAGTTGTTTCTTATGGTTTTATCTAATGAAAGTTACCATTTCCTATCAAAAAAAAAAAAAATAGCCATCCTTCTCTCTGTCTCCATTTTAGTATTTTGGCCATCTTATCTTCATTTTATATGTCATTTACTTGCCATTTTGACTTTTTTCTTTGTTGTTACTATACATTTTGGTTAGATTGAGAATCTTCTTTCTGCCCAATACCAACCAGGAACATTTATATAAAACAACAATTCTTGAGTGATTTCCATGAAATGCCAATTCTTCCTTTCACCAGCCATTCTGTTGAGGTGTATAAACACAAGAAATCTTATAAATATTCCTTGTTGTTTTAGAAAAATATTAAGATGCTTTTCAAAGTATTCTTATCCATGGTGATAGCAGGGCATTTTTGTCTTCCCCCTGGTTAGGTTGAACTGTGGTTGGGCTAATACTGAAAAGGAAATTGAACCATCAGAGTAAAGAAAAACTTTAAGCAGGCTGCCAATCTAAGTGAGATGCATGAGGAATCTGGAGACTCACAAAGTTCATAGATCAACACGTGGCAGGTTAAATGGGTAGTCTTGTGTCTTCACTTTTATCAGATGTAGATGAAAGATAATGATGGCGAGAGGAAGGATTGGAGGGAGTTGAAAAACAGTCCACTTAATGTATGGAACTGTTTGAGATTAGATGCAAAAATAAACAAACAAGAGAGGATGAGAAGAGAGAGCTGGCGGCAATGAGTGTTAGAGAGTAAGAGGTTTGAACATAACCTCTCTCTAACACTCTAAACATCTTATTAAGAAGTTAATCTTTGACAAATTACAGAGAGGCCCTTGARTGGGCAGGAAAATACAAAAAACAGAACATTACAGAGTATGGGCCCAGAATAAGGCCCATAACAGAGAGAAACATAACATAACATGAAATGACAGTCTATGGGCCATTCGGCCCATCTCCTCTGCAGAGGGGATTTGAAGGCAGATCTTTTAGTGGCAATTTGATGCGGAAGAAATCTAAGGATGCAATGAGAGAGACGTTTGTGGGATTTTGGGTGGGGAAAAAGAGGGTTACTCCCTCAAAACAAGGGAAAATCTGGAAAGCTCTGGGAATGCCAATTTATGTTTGACATTGCTTGGTGGCTGGCATGATTTGAAGTGTAACATGGATCAGGTGAGAAAATGGTGAGGGCAAGTGACAATAAGTGGGTTTGGATCATTACCTGATGCCCACAATCAGGTGGTGAAAAAGAAGTGGAGGTAGTAGATATGTTTGGAATACAGAGGGTGCTAAATCTTGAAATAAAGAGAAGTTTTTGGGTTCCCTGAGAGAATCTGGCTGCAAGAGATGGAAATGTCCCTGAGGATTCTGTCTTTACAGTCATTACTCATGTTCCTAGCGGTGTCAGAAGAGAGGACGAAAAGGTTGGGGGAAGGAGTAAGGGCAATTGAGAAGATTAGAGTGGGGTGGATGTTGCTTTTCATTTGGTAGCTACTGTTTCTATTGATGGGTCTGATTTGAAAAGATGCGAGAAACTGTAGTGGATAATGATTCAACAAGGTCTTTGCATGATGCTAGTTCATCTGCAAGAGGACTTGTTCAGCAGTAACCTGAGACCCACTTGCCAGTTTTCTATTAAAATGGGATAAGGGGCATCATCTTGGAAGTGTCTGATTTTAGGATTCCAGATGATGGTCCATCTGAAGGGATGAATTATGTGGATAATCAAGAGCAGTGTGGTGGGTGTGAGGTGAGGTGGAACGGAGAGATTCTGGTTGTATGATGGTTCATGTAGTGCCAGACGCTGAATTAGTAGGTTATGTTATCTGTAAATCTGACCCTTTAAAAGACATTGGCTGAAATGGAAAATGTAGGGTAATATCTTTGAAGACAATAGATCTGGAGTATCAAATAGGGAGGCTGGGAATTGATCTATGTCAAAGGACCATATCTAGATGTGCTATCTCAGTGGTGTTCAGGAATCCCTATTCTTTCCTTTTCTTACTTTTCTTTCTTCTTTCTTCTCTCCTTTCTTTCTTTCTTTTTCTTTCCTTCCCCTTCCCTTTCATTTCATTTTCTTTTCCTTTTCTTTTCTTTCCTTTTTTCTTTTTCCTTTCTTCATTCCTTATTTTAGTACAAGGCACAGGAGGTGCATGAGGTGTGCACCTGAGATGTACACCTCACAGGCATCAACACCTCCAGTATACGCCTCAGTGTATTTTGAGGGCGCCTTGCCTGGAGGTGTTCCTCCAAGTATATGCCTCCCAGTCCTTTTAAAACATTGATTAGTCTTCTAATGTCAAAATTTTGCATTGTCTGATCAATAGCTCTTTTGTTCTGTTTCATATCCAAACTAAAGGGAGTTATTCATTTTGGGCTTTACATAGGAGAGCCTGTCATTGACTGACTCATTATCTTTTCCAAATGCCTTAGGTTAGTGAAAAGCTAGAACTGCCTCGTGTTCATGGAGTTGTTAAAATACTTGGATATCCTCAATATAATTCTTACAGGGCCTTTTTATCTCTGCACTAGAACTCTTCTTGTTTCTATTGGTTTTGCATTGCACTTTCTATTTGTACTTTTAACTCCAAATTAGTCTATTCCATTTTTTTGGTGATCTAATGCTTGGTTATATTTAACTGAATGAAGTTCTGTCACCAACTCACAATGTTTCTGTTTTTATTTTAACATAGGAGAAGGAAGAGTCTGCATTGCGTGCTCAAAGCAGCTCTGTCAGAAGCAATAGGAGACAGACAAAAGTTCCTGAAGACGAAGTTCCTAAGGCTGGAAAATTCCAAGCTTTTATCAAAGATGAAGTTCTAGTTGGTATTTACAATGTAAGTACGACCTACGATGACAATGACAAGGGTTTCTGCTTGCTTCTAACTTGATCCATTTGTTTTCTCCCAGAATGCTTTCCCCTGCACAGCAGAGCAGTTCTTTAATGTGTTATTGGCTGATGATTCAGATTTTACAAATGAATACCGGTTAGCACGAAAGGATACTAATCTTAATGTAAGTTTCTTCTAACCTATGATCCTTATATTGGAAGATGATACTATTTCTAAGCTTGAGGAATTGACCTTTTTCTCCATTTACAACTTTATACATCAATGCCTATGTTCCAATATGATGTGCAAGAGACATCTCCTGTGGTTTTTGTTAATTGAAGTGAGGTACTCCTTGGCACCACCAAATAAGACCCAGCTTACCATTGATGCTTTAATGGCTATATGAATGAATTTTTCATTTGGCTAATCAGTTGATTAATGTGAGCCTTAGTGCCCAGAACTGTGGAAATATTCTCATTTACATGTCACAATCAAGTAATTCCAGACAGCTTTCTAGAGAGAGAAACTTCTCTCTCTAAAGTTTCCCTACCAAACCATGATGAAAGCCAGATCTGATTCAGCCATCTCTCATATCCAAGGTTCTTTTTCATCCTGTTATTCCATTAAAACAGTTTTCAAAATTTCCCACTAAAAAACCTAGTTCTCTAAAGTTTCTAATTTTGACAACTCTCATCTTTTTGTGTCCAACCTCATAAAACCTCTTTAAATTCAATCTCCTGCCTTAGATCGCTTACCTAAAGAATGGGTGGTATACTTAGACACCCTACATACTTCTGTCTTTTACTAAAACCCATCCTCTAGTTTGGGTATTAGTAAAACACCCCCAGTAGTTTGCACCTGTCTTATTTAAATCTATTCCTCTTTGATGGAAGTGTAAAATTACCTGTTTAACCCTAATTTCCGTTGGACCACAAACATTGAAAGAAAATAAAGAAGGAAAATGTCTCTTTTGCCCTGTAAGAATACGGGCAAGGGACAGTTCTCCCTGTTCGAAGACAATATAGTTGTCAAGGCGTCGCCTAGGCGCCTCGCCCAAATGCCTTGACTTTTAGCAACTAGGCGACAAAAATGACAAGGTGGGTGCCTTTTGTAATATCATTTGTATTGCTGTATTGTATGTGTTAATACATTTTATTATATGCTATATATATCAATACTTTGTTTTAATGTTTTACTTTTGAAATTTAAAAGATCAAAGGGTTTTGAGGAGAGAAAAAGAAAGAAAAAAAGAAAGAAAGAAAGAGGAAAGAAAGAATAGAATTATAAAGAGGTTCTTTTTTTCTATTATCTCTCTCTAATTAAATAAAATAGAAACTCCATCCTTATTTTTGTATTTTACTTTCCATCTTGAATATTTATCATATAAAGTCGACCATCTTTAGCTGTTAATTGATATGAAACAAGGTTCAAAGTATCAACACGTATCGGCCCGTATCAGCCGATACATATCGTTCCGGGAGCTCCCTGATACGCCCCTACAGTGGGTGTATCAGGGTTCTGACCGGTTCAGGGGGTGGAGGAGCCTTAAACCGGCCCCCCTGAACCGGTTTTGAGAAAAAAAATAAAAAAAAGTAAAAAAAGAGTATTGTTATTGCCCGATATGCCCCTACTGGCGTATCGGGCGTATCGATATTTTGAACCTTGATATGAAGTTCTCTATTAAATTCTTATTATAGCAGTATTATTTTTGAAAGTAATTAAATTAATATTTGTAAAAGATTTTTTTATCTTTTAGATGTGATGAGTAATAAAGAGAATTGCTATTTTTTTTCAATTAATATACATGCTGAATGGTATACAAAACTAGGGAACTATCCAAAAGTTAGATTTTTATATTATGAAATTTTTATCGCCTAGTTGATTAAGCACCCCAGTGTCACCCAAAATTGCCTAGGCACCTAGAAAACTATGGAAGGCATATAGAGTGCATCTGCTTCTTGTGCTGTGCAAGTACAAGAGCATGACTGCTTTCATTTTCATTTTCAGATAACTTGCATCTGAACAGACGTGGAGATTCAAAAACATGGGATGTTGAATCAGAACAGGAAGAACATCTCTTTCACAATCTCAGCACTCATTGCGTCGCAATCTGATCAATAGCAGACCCTAGTTCAGAAATTCACTTCTTAGCTACCAACTCCTGTGTGAAACCATATCCCTTTGGTTTGTTTAAGAAACTAGTCAGAGGCTAATAAACTGTCAGTCTAATAATATTGGAGACAATGATATGGTTCAGAGAAATTACATCCACAGTGCCCAGAATTTTTATATATCATTGGTGAACATCAAAGGTATCTAACTTCAGCAGGTTCAGAACATTGTCTTCACTTTTCCTGTAATGGAAGGCAAGAAATACATTACTTAACAGCTGAACAGAAGCTCCCAGGGGCAGTTCATTCCTTGGTGAGCATTTACAGGAAGGTTCTTACGAGTACAATGTCTGGTACAAAGCCTTTATTGAACCAGTTCTAGTTAATCTTATAGGTTGCCCATCTGAGTTTTTCCTTCAACAGGTTGGAACTAAGATTAGAGGTACATTTAATAGAGCTTTTGATTCAGGATACTTAATGATGGCAAATGTCAATGACAAAATCTTGAGAGGGGTGTTATGTTCTCCTGTAAGTTTTTAATGAGAAATGGGTATTCAAGAATAGAAGCCCAAAACATTGTTCTAAATAATTGTTTATCATATTTAAGGTCTTTTGTTGATGTTACTAATTTCAATTTGGTAAATCAGGGACCTGGGGTTGCCTCAAGAGTAGTTCCTCCCCAGAATCTGACATGTCTAATAAATCCAATTGCTGCTTCCCAACCACACTCAAGTTGAAGTTTCATGTCCAATAAATCCAATATGCTAGACCTCATCAACTGATGTAATTTATGATGCCAGAACCAAGCCATCGTCCAAATCCAATTCAACCATTTTCTTCCGTTAAAATCAGATCACCTTTTCTGGGGCTCTGGATCTTAAGAATGATCTTCAAGGTGTTGTTCTAACACTAGGAAGACCTGGCTGTGTTCCTGGTAGCTCATAGCAGGATCCACACATGCACAAATGAAGATTGATTTAGGCAGGGCCTCTTGGTTCTCTCTCCCCCTTGATGTAAACCGGTGTTCTGCAGAAGTTCCGGACTGTGCTGGCAATGGAGAATGGTTTTGAGCTAGTTTATATTTTTTATTTAACGTCAAAGATGAAGTTGGGTTTCCGGTTAGGATAGAGGAGAGACAAGTAGGTAGCTGTGGTGAGAAGTGGGCCACACCCAGACAAGTAGACGTCACTCAGATTCTTCTTTTTACTGTTAATATTTTCAGGACAAAAATTCTAGGACACTGTCCTTTCACTACTTTATGAGGTTGATTGACTATTCATTGATGAAAATACAAATGGTTGTTGATGGACAGAGTTTTAAGTAAAATGGCTGCAAACTACAGGGGGTGTTTTAGTAAAACACAAACTAGAGGGTAGGTTTTAGTAAATATAGTAAAGTATAGGGGGTGTCTAAGTAAACAACTTTTAAAGAAATTTCATTCCAATCTTGTCATATTGAAATTTCCTTGATTTCTCTTTCTAGAACTTTCTGCATATTGCAGGAATTTCAGCACTAAACTAGCTTCTTAAACATGATGCAATCATATAACCTTAGACAAACCCTCACAAGTCCTCATCCCCCTTCCTTAGGCCTACTCCTAGCATCACAACTACATCATTAGAGTCCTCTCTTAGCTTTTGTTCTGATTTCTTGATTCTGAAATCTCTATTCAGCAACACTATTATACAGTTTAGGCAGCTATATTCCATATATTCAGCAACACTATTATACAGTCTATGGAAGTGATGATTTAAGATTATGATCAATCAAATGAATCTAACTTTTTTTCTATTTCTTTGTTACATCAGTTTAAGTGGGTTCAGTTTCTACACTCAATACTATCATTAAATAAGGTTATGGAATTTGACTTTTAATTTCTTGCTTACCACTCTGACATTTCCAGTTTGGTATTTTGTCATCCATTTTCTCTTTCTAGTTGGGTCAGTGGCATGCCGCAGATGAGTATGATGGTCAAGTCAGAGAAATAACGTTCAGATCTCTTTGTCACAGCCCCATGTGTCCTCCAGACACAGCCATGACTGAGTGGCAGCATGCTGTTTTGTCGGTGGATAAGAAAGCATTGGTGTGATTATTAGCCATATGCAAATGCTTTTCTTTTCTTTATTACAATTTGTTCCTTAGTGGTTCTTAGAGAATTTTTCATTTGGTTTCCTTGGCATACATTTTTGGTCCTTTATTGACCTTAAAATTATTGATTTGTTCTACCCTCCTGTTTCAGGTGTTTGAGACTGTGCAACAGGCACATGATGTTCCATTTGGATCTTATTTTGAGGTATCTAATACTTTGCAAGTTTAAGTTAGGATTTATGAGAACTATATTCTCTTTCATCATTTCATAGGTTATATTTCTGTTTAATTAGTTTTTCCAATCCTACTTTACATCCTTGAGTTCACTTTTTTAATATCATATATCGTTTTCAATCTTTATTGTTTTTATTAGAAAACTATGTATGACTTGTGTTAAGTGTGAAGATGAAATGTAAGAAATCCTAAGTACTAAGAAGCTATAATATTCTAATACCGAGGACTGAGTTTGGTCTGTCTAATACTCTCAGTCTGGTCCCTATATGATGTTAATCAGTGCCTTTCTGCAGAAAAACAGATGGGTTCACCACCATACCCAAAGAATAGAGCTGCTAATAGCCTAATACCAACTCTATTCTTCGGTCTATTTTATTAGACAGATAAAAACTAAGATTCAGTGTCACATCCAAAGGAATTTTCAAGTTGGCTCATAGTGGCCATCATCACTTTTATGCAGTTAATAATACTGATGTTCCACGTATGTCAGTTTCAGTAATGCTTCGTGTCAGTGCCCATGGATATGGAAATATGTTTGTCAAGTGGTGAAACTACTCTATACTTGTTAGTCTTCTACCCCTTTTCTTATGGTATTTTAGTATTTGGGAATAGTTTCTTAATCTTTTAGGTTGCAGGTGGTCCCCTCCTAGTGATACAGTAAGTCGTTTTTAACAATATTTCTTCTCTTGCAAGAGGGGGGAAATGCTATGAAGATTTAACATAGCCACCATCCATTGGTCAATTTGGAGAAAGAAATGCAGACATTTAGAGAGGATTGTAGAGAACATTGATGTGGGCCCCACAGCTGTGGTCCCACTCTGTCCGTAGGGTAGAATGTATCTAGTCACAGCTGTGGTCGATTTATGATTCTGTTATTCTAGTTGTTATTTACTTTTCAGTTTTATATTGTTATGTGTTATGATGTAAACATCGAGGGCAGATGTGTCCTTTCATGTAACTAGCATAACATATAAATATTAAATTAAAGTGGCGGTGGCAGAATATTGAGATTCTGTTCTTCTTCTCAAAACTGTGTTCTACTGCTCTCTCAACACTCTTTCTCCTCCTTCTTCACTTTCTCTTCTCTTCGAACCTGAAGTTCCTGAGTGATCAAGACTGATAGCAGTCTTGAACAACTACATGGTATCAGAGCCAAGTTAGGGTTTCTCATGTGAGTCTAATACCAGTCGACCACATGAGAATCTCCTATGACTGAGAGCTGAAAAGGAGGAGTTCGCAGACTGATTCTTGGAGATCGCCAGAAGTGCTAGCAGCTGTTG